GCCCTGTAAACCTGACTCATGTACTCTATTTTAGGGCTGCTTGATGTGTTACTTATTCTGATTGGATGGATACAGTTACAGTATGTGTTGTGTGTTGAACCTGACTATTGGTTGTTCATGTGTCTTATCTCATAGGATGTTTACTTTGCATATTTGTTCCCAATGTGCAATTCGCTGTGATTGTCTTTTGTCACTAAATGTATTTTTGTCCCAGCTGATAATGTTTATTCTGTGCTTTGATTTGAAGCAACAGCACCTGTTGCTCTGACCCCTGATCTGTGGCTTTAAGTTGTGGACACATATGATGCTTGAGGGATCCATCAGATTTAAACGACCCACATGGTCCCAGACAGTTGGTCAAGCGATGACATTGTGATATAACATGGAATGATGTTCGTTCTTTCCTGACTTTGCTGTTAACCAAACTATTTTTACTCTAAATTAGTTTACAGTTGGGGGATTTCACCAAGTACCACATGTTCCAGGGTCAAGATTGTTGATCCTGGATTAACTTTCCAATCAACCAATCAGATTTGAGGGACAAGTTTACAGTTTATGTCAAGTTTAGGCTTAGAACCAGGGTAACTTAAACATCAGTGTTATTCACCTATCATTACCCTACGATTTTAGGGATAAGTTATGGGCAGGGTTAGGTTTAGGGGTTGGGATTGGGTAAGGACTACATTTTGTCCTTACAAAATACAAAATAGAGTATGTTGATCCAGGACCATGTCTTGGCAAAATCACGGTGACCTTTACAGTTTATAGTTGCAGCACTCTGTAAAGGTCAGCACTTTATATACTTTTTTTCACAGGGAACAATTGTGTCACCATTTAGTGCTCTCAATGTTTATATTCCAGTCATATAAAGTGATAAATTTCTAAAATATTGGGGACATGTGGGTCTAATGTGGCTCTGAACACAGAAACAGCCCTGACTTCCTCTGGGAGTAGTTAAAATAGAGAAAGAGGGCAAGAGAAAGCTTCTGTTTTGTGTGGTACAGTTTAAGCTTACTTTCAGTTGACAGACATCCAGTAACATATTAGCTGTTCAAGACACTTTATTTCCCCATTTTGAATGTCAATTATAAAATAATTGTATGCACTGATTGCAAAGAAATTAATATATTTACATAAAAATGTACTCTGGAAGGTTTATTGAGCTCCAAATCAGCGTATTAGATTGAATTCGAAGGATCATGTGACACTGAAGACTGGAGTAATGATGTTGACAATTCAGTTTTGCCATCTTAGGACTAAATTGAAATTTATAATGTAGTAAAACAGAAAACTGTTATTTTAACTTATTTTAAATGTAGTGTTTTCCCCACTAAAGTCAGTTCCCGCTGAGCAGAGATCACAGGAACTGATTTTTGAAAAACCTGATTCCTTATGTAATTTATATATCTTGAGTACGCAATTTTACAAAGAAATGAAGTTTGATGAATAAATTGTTTCCATAAACTATTTAGAGTACATTTAGAGCCTGCTGGGTCGCCCCTGCTTCCCTCTCCAGAGGACTTGGAGGGGGCGGGACCAAAGGAGATCTTATCTCAATTTTCCATTCACTGCTCCAAGTTTCCATTCCTTTTTCTTTTCTTTTTTTTTCACCACATCCATTTCCCCCCCCCAAGTCTTAGCACTACTTAGCATGTATGTGCTCTGTTTTTATGGCTACTGTGGTTATGATCATACTGCTGTTATAGGCTAATTTCATCAAGAGAGTTTCAATTGAATTTCATCATCTAAACTAAACGGGGCTGGCAGCCTTTTCCCGTCTTCTTGTGTTGCTGAATGAGCCATATTCTGACACTCGTGATCCATAACAATAATTAGATACAATGAATCTCATCAGAAGGGATCGGAGAGAAGAATTGATTTGGCATGAGGCTTGTTTGGCTTTGAGCTGGTTTTGTTTTTGTTTTGTTTTTAATTGAACATAAGCATTTTAGTACAGTAGTACATAGGACAGTTCAGTACAATACAGTAGATGTGGTATTGTATTCATTGTCAAGTATTGATGGTGTCTCTTTTCCAATCCGATACCTCATGAGGTTAAGGAACATTTTATTTTTATTTTTAGATTTTTGAGAGAAAAATATTTTAGGTAATAATTTAGCTGCAAATTATTATATATCTGTTGTTATTTATCATTTATTCATTCAAAACTTTTAATTGATATACATTTATAATTAATCATATAATTGATATATTTAATTTTAGTTATATATTTTTTTTATTTTATAATTCATTATAATTAATTTACAATTCATAAAATACACTCTAAAAATGTTTTGGTCTAATATGGACAATTCAAATTTCACATTGATCTACGTATATATATATATATATATATATATATAATGTTTTTTTTCTGCCATTCAATCTGCGATCTTGTTTTGAAAGGAACCTTTCGTGCTAAATAAATAGTAAAATGACTAATTTAAAAATAAACACATTTATTCAACATTTTTATGCTGATCTTCTACAAATCATCACAATTGAAAGTATCAATACTTCATAATTGATTGAACTATAAAAACACGAATGGATTAATGTGATTTATGTATTTCTTCTTGGGATGCTTTTAAACCGTAAAGCAGTTACATATTTATGTACAAGATTTTCTTAAGCACAAGCTAGGAAATTAATTATTATTATTTTTTTAAAGATCATAAGAAGCACCAATTCAGTAACATGTGACTGTCTAAATAGTGTATCAGCATGTAAGTGAGATATATCCAGGCAGGGCTATTCTTTGATATCTTCATATGGCATAAATATGCTCACACCAGTCTTGCCTGAAGCTGAGGCCTCTGGTGGTTGTCTCTCATGGCTAAATATACTGCTGCTCCACATGTGGTTTCTCTTCTCAGATTACTTTTTTTTCTTTTTCTTTTTTTTTTCAACAAGAAAGTGTTCCCATTAGAACCAGCCAAACTCCTCACCCTCCAGCAATCAGGAATTTTCTGCAGCCCTTATTTTGTGTGTGCGGTGGTGTCTGTTTAATGCCAAGAGACGTTTCGCATACATTCAACACACTCTGCTGTCGTAGCTTTGAGTAACATTGATGAGATTCAAAGTGGTGGTGACAAGATAAGAACCTTGCCCATCCCACCCTTCACACCTGTTTTTTTTTTATCTCCCTCTACCTCTACAGCACTTGTTCTGCTTTGCTTTAGAGGGCTCCAATACAGCTAGTCCCCTTAGATAGAGGCATGCTTGCTGTCTGCTCTACATTTTTAGATTTAAGTATTTAAAACAGAAGGTGGCTGGTCAGCAGGGTGATAATCTGAGACTGTAGGTGGGGTTAAACATATAAAATCATAATATGATCCCCCTTCATCTGTCTTTGTTAAAGGGTCCTATTATGCTCATTTACAAGTTCACCGTTATGTTTGTGGGGTTTACTAGAATACGTTTACATCATTTAATGGCATTAGGCCTCGCCCAACTTTTTATCCACATGCTTTAGGTGGGAATTATTTAGATAAGGGATATTGTGATGTGTACATCACCGGTGTTGTAGAAAATTGACTAAAATACAACAATTGAGGCATTTCAGGGAATTCATAAGCAATGCGTACTGATATAGAGAATAACTCCATTTTTAATGCTCAAACAGCAAAACATACTAAAGAAAGTTGAAAATTTTAAAATATATATGTAATAGGACCCCTTTAATATCATAATGAATTAAGAATGACTAACTTTATAGATTTTTGACTCACCATCATGATGTTTCAAACCCATATCATTTTCCATAATTCATATAACCCATATAAAATCCTTCTGAATGGGCCAAAAAGTACTTTTAAAAATACCATAAATGCAGTTATAATGACTATAACATATTCGTTTTGGATGAGAAATATAGAGGTAAGGCTTTACAATAAGGTCTCATTATTTAACATTAGTTAACTAAGAATGGACAATACTTCTACAGCATTTATTCATCTTTTTAACGGTTGATCAAATTAAAGTCATTCATGTTAGTTCATTATTAGTTAATAGTTCATAACAGTGCATTAAAGTTAACAAATACAACTATTGATTTAAATAATGTATTGGTAAATGATAAAATTTACATTATTAACAAGAACTAAGAATGAACAATACTTCTACAACAATTATTAATCATAGTTCTTCTTAAATATAGTTAATATTAATTTTATCATTTACTGATACATTATTAAAATCAATAGTTGTATTTGTTTACTTTAAATTAATGCACTGTGAACTAACATGAATGAGTTTAATTTGATTAACCTTTAAACAGATGAATAAATATAGTAATACATTTATTGCTTGTTAGTTCATGTGGTTAATACATTAACTCATGTAAACCATTGAGATATTGTAAAGTGTTATTGGAATAGTCTGAAAGTTATTACTCACTGAAAATAACCATGCCTCATGATTAGTTATGTTGAGACAGGTCTGATGAGAACCAATGCTATTTTATGTCATTTAGATACTGGTACACTTACATTTAGATACAGGTACATATAGGTACAGTGAAGAGCATGATTTTCAGTGAAATAACTATTTGAATTTTTGAAATTTAAATTTGATGTTTCTCACAAATTTTGGAACGTGAATTATAGCGCACAAGTTTCATGGAGGTAAAAATTGAGACCATTTTTTCTTTCCTATTGTGACTTATATCTAAGAGAAAAGACTTTGAAAAAAAGAAATTGGAAAAAAAAAATGTAGGACGGGACTTCATTTTGTCAAATGAGAATAAATTATTTATAATAATTTTTTTTTTATGATATTTTGACTTCAAGTTCCAGTGTGCTTTTCAATATCATCACCATGAGTCATGTTGCAATGAAAAGGCAGGATGTGCAATGATTATTTTCTCTCATTTTTGTGCTAAATTGATTTTTACTCTAAATGCAAACAATGAAATAAAAGAACTGGGAAATGTGCTTATGTTAATCATCACAGATCTTTGTTTAAAAAACAACTAAATCTGAGTTTTTTTGTGTCCGCAGGACCCGCAAATGGGCAGAACAGATGCAGGAGGAGCTTGTGCAGTTGATCGATGCTGAGAGCGGCATACATAAGCTCAAAGAAGTAAGACCACACAACTGTCTTTCAGCTTAACACGCACAAACAGATTTTCTATGCTGCCACAAAAACCTTCTGATTTTACACAGAGGTGTCTTGTGTTTGTATGTATAAAATCAAGAAGTTCTTGTGGCAGTATAGAAAATACAGGATAAATGGCTTCAAGATAGATGTATACCATCAATTGACAACATCATGGCAGGTCCTGTCTTGAGTAGTTCACTTTAAAAAAAAAAAAAAAACTTGTGCTGATAATTTACTCAACCCCATGTCATCCAAGATATCCATATCTTTCTTTCGTCGGTCGAAAAGAAATTAAGGTTTTTGATGAAAATATTCCAGGATTTTTCTCCATATAATGTACTTTAATGGTAACCAAACGGTTCAAGGTCCAAAAGACACTTTCAGTGCAAACGATGAATAAGGGTCTTTGGACCTTGAACTGTTTGGTTACCAGTAAAGTACATAATATGGAGATATTTTCATCAAAAACCTTAATTTCTTTTAGACTGAAGAAAGAAAAGTGAAAAGTGAAAAGTTTTCATTAATTAAAAATACATGTCCCTATGGAGAAAATGAATGGGACTGGCTATGAGCTGATATCAGTGCTCAAATTCCAAGGGCACTGGTTCTAAAGCTTTCTTTCTATGCGCAAAAAAAAAAATCATTCAGGTTTAGAATGACATGAAGGTGAATAAATGATTACAGAATTTTCATTTTGCCTGAAATTTTCATATACTGTACTGCTTCAAAAGGAGCAAAACATCAGCATCTCTGTGACCCAGTCTCATCAAAACCTTTTAGTGTTTGTCAGGCGGTTTGCCATTCTGAAAGGCAGATGTGCAAAGAATATTGAATGTGTTCAGATAGGTTTACTATGGGAGAAAGCCAAAGAATTCCATCAACCCACAATGCATGCTGCCTGCTGTTAAAGTGGGTGGCGATCTGCAGTGGTACATGGGGTCAATGATTCCTTTGGTCCAAAGATTCTATCATATATAACGATTAAGGAAAATTACCTTTTTTTTTTTTTACAGGAACAGGTTCACACCTGTGCATGTCCAATCACAGTCCTTTATGGTGTATTTTTTTTTTACGTCTAAACAAATTTAAGAGTGAATATCCTAAATGATCAGACACTAACATCCACAAATCTACACTGGAGGTTCTGGAAAGCAGGGTTCAAAGTATATATATATTACCTATTTATTTGTTAAAAATATATATACACTTTGCCACAGTATTGATAGCAACAGTCTGATAAAAGACAGGAACCAATTATTCTTTTTTTGGCCTTGCAGTTAATATTAATATAACTTATTATATTTTTTATTTATTTTATTTATTATTTAAATTCTATTCAAGTATACCCATCATAACTATTGACGTTTTACAAGAGACCTTCTAACCACTAAATAATTGCCTGTTTGGTTTAGCAGAGTCTGAGAATATTCTATAATTCATATACGTTCTTACCAGCTTTACTCTTTTTACATAGTTGTGTCTTGGTTTAATTGCAAAAAGGTTGACTTAAATCTGTTTTGTTTTATGCATTGATTATCTGTCACAGCCTTATATATATATATATACTGTATATATATACGACTAATAAGATTTGCAGGAACATTTGTAATGAATGCTATGCAGTCTGTCAAGGCTATGACACCTCAAGAGTTATCTGCCTTTTCTTTCTCTCTGCTCATAAGTGATGGCTTTTTAGACAAATTTCAGCAAGTAAACCTGAAACCTTAAACCTCTCTCCTTCTCAGATTTTCAAGGATTTGCACAAACACTATACTGTGAAGCAAAACAACGCTGAACAGCTGGTGGCAAAAGCTGCGAGTGAAATCGAAAAACTTCTTGCCAGCCGCTCCAAAGCTCTAGAGGTAAGTATTACACGTTACCAACCTAATATTCAAAACGTGTAGCACTTTTAGGGCATTTTTTGAGATGTTACCCTGGGTTTTTCCTGCATGGGTCAAAAATGGTCTTCTGTGGTGGCGACTTGAGTTCAACACGAGGTACACAAAGCTTCACTCTTGGAAAGGTACACAAAACTTCCATTATAATCAAGGAAGCTGTACTGTATGTGCTCTGCGATGAATCTCTTATTGACATCGTGTTTATACTTTGGTTATGATGAAAGTTACGATTAGGTTTGCCCATTGAGTTCATTCAGTAAACAGATTTGTCTGTGATGAAGTGATAACAGCTCAATGCAGCAAAAACATGTAAATGGAAACCTTTGATGCTCTTTGGTCAGTGCAGGAAAAACCCTGTTATACATTGCAACTGAATGTATATGTTTTATTTGATGCAATCATATTTAATCATGTTGATTTCCACCCGTCGAGGTGTATTCCAGGTGTCATACTTGCATAATGCTCTTGCTATTTTAGCAGTATATTTTCTTTATACATTTTTTGAATGCGTAAAATACCCATATGACCTACTAAATTTGCTGAAATGAACAATAAACAAACCAATCTGTTGACAAAATGAAGGTATAAAAAGGTTTTATGTAAGGAGAAATATATCAAATGCTTGCATATTTAATATATTTCTCAACAGAACCTTTTTGGTATTAAGGGTTTGTAAAAATTGGGTCAAGAACCCTATGTTCCATGTATGAACCTCTTTTTTTTTTAAGAGTGTGTAGTACGTACTAAGCTAGTGTTTCAAAAATAGCCATTGTTTTTTCTGCTCGGTCCAAAGTAAATTAGATCTGACAGAAAGATCCAGCTTGGATCGATCTGCATTGATCTAGCTCTGATAAAACTGAGTCCAGAATGTTGGAGGGCTGCTTTAAGCTGAAAGTTAATTAGCTTGTCCATACGCTCTGTCCTTTTGATTTTCTTTCTTGTTAAACTGTACGCTGTATGCCCTGAAAACTGTCTCAAGAGCATTTTCCATTATTGTATGAATAGAAATCATTAGATATGATTATGCTGGCTCATTTTCCCAGAGAGTGGAGAAATACCATATGTTGTGTGCGCTTGAGCAGGGTCAGTCAATGTTATAAATGTTTAACTCTTCCTCCTGAAGTGCGGGTGATGTATATAGCAGACTGGCGAGCTGCTTTTATTGGTGAGCATTAAACACATCGCTGACAGCTCACCCTGATGACTAAATAAAAGTATTGACCTTTCACTCCTTCTCTCTCTTTCTCACTGTCCCTTTCCTTTTTTCGCCTGCTGGCTTTTTTTCTGTCATGCTTAATTGGTCTGAAATAAGTGCTCTTGTTTTAATGGATACGAAAGCATAAGTGTGGGTCACATGATGGAAATAACTGCTCTTAGGTCATTGGATCTGTAATAGCTGGTTTTGGTGCGAGGACACTTTGGCTGTTTGCTTCTGTTTATTTGTGTGTGTGTGTGTGTGTATTTTTGGCTAATTGTTTCAACCTCCAGTCACAATGCCCAGGCTGGAGACTGTCCTCATGTCACTCCATTTAAAAAGTCTTTATCTAGTGTTCTCCCTCCACCGACACAAACACAAACGTGACCATTACTTGCCTGTTTTCATGCTTTTCTCTCCTCTACTTTTATAGTCACATTCAGATGAAAAAGACTTAGTTGAGTCAGAGCTGTGCTGTTTATTTATATATGTATATGTTTTTATTTTTTTTTTTAGTTTTGTATCCTGCCTATAATTAAAAAGATCACAAGTACATCAAGTTCGGCAACTCTAGTGAATCAAAAGCATTAAATAAATAAATAAATTAACTAATTTTTATTAATTACATTTTTTAATTAAGCATTACAAAAGAACCAAAAATATTACATTTAATTAATCAATAAATGCAGGTAGTACAATTAAGCACATCTTTTTAAAATATTTCAGATTTTCTGTAGAATATATTTATTTTATATTTGTGCACTAACTTTTTCGTTTGTCCTTCCTTCCTTCCTTCCTTACTTCCCTCCTTCCTGGTTTCCTTCCTTCCTTCCTTCTTTCCTTCCTTGCTTCCTTCCTTGCTTCCTTCCTTGCTTCCTTCTTTGCTTCCTTCTATCATTCCTTCCTTCCTTCTTCCTTGCTTCCTTCTTTACTTCCTTCTATCCTTCCTTCTTCCTTGCTTCCTTCTATCATTCCTTCCTTCCTTCTTCCTTCTTCCTTGCTTCCTTCTATCCTTCCTTCCTTCATTCCTTCCTTACTTCCTTCTTCCTTGCTTCCTTCCTTGCTTCCTTCTTTGCTTCCTTCTATCCTTCCTTCCTTCCTTCTTTGCTTCCTTCTTCCTTGCTTCCTTCATTGCTTCCTTCTTTGGTTCCTTCTATCCTTCCTTCCTTCCTTGCTTCCTTGCTTCCTTCTTTGCTTCCCTCCTTCCTTCTTTGCTTCCTTCTTCCTTGCTTCCTTCTGTCTTTCCTTCCTTCTTTCCTTGCTTCCTTCTTTGCTTCCTTCTATCCTTCCTTCCTTCCTTCTTCCTTGCTTCCTTCTTTTCTTCCTTCTTCCTTGTTTCCTTGCTTCCTTCTTTGCTTCCTTCTTCCTTGCTTCCTTCCTTCCTTCTTTTCTTCCTTCTTCCTTGTTTCCTTGCTTCCTTCTTTGCTTCCTTCCTTGCTTGCTTGCTTTCTTCCTTCCTTCCTTCTTTGCTTCCTTCCTTCATTCTTTGCTTCCTTCCTTCCTTCCTTGCTTACTTCCTTCCTTCCTCCCTAAATGAATCAGCTTGTTATTGTAGCACCATTAAGATTAACCTGCTTTTAAATGGCACATAAAACAAGACACACTCTAATTGGTTGTGTTGCACATCAGTCCGGTGGTTTCTTCCTGTCTAATTCATTGCCCAACTGTTGTTTATGAGAAACTTTCTTCTAAGGAAGTACTTTTGCTTGAGAATCATGGATTGGCCTCTTATTCCACCACTGGAAGTTAGCTGTCACTGTGACGATGAGCATATCTTGCCGATCATGTGGTGCTGTTCACGTTCCTGTTGTTCTTTCCTGAGTGACCACAGATCATGTCTTGTTCTAATCAATATCTGCTGGATCAGACTTGACTGATCTCGACTGTGGGATGCTGGGGTTGGATTAGACTGATTGATTGATTGATTGGCAGCTCAGTTAAGTTGATCAGTGGGTGTCTTTAATTTGGAGGCATCCATCAGCAGCTGTCTGCACAGTCGATGCAAGTTAACGGAGAATGCTTGACATGCGGTCGGGATGCTGTGTTGTCCAACAGGAAACTGAAGGTGCTAGCTGTTGATGGAGACAGTGTTTTCTTTAACGTCAATCAAATCACTTTAACAGTTAAAATGTCTCACTTTTGCCCCTCTCTCTCTCTCTCTCTGTGTCTCCCTCTCCCTTGACTTTATTCCAATTACAGCCATTCAACCTACTAAAATTAACTTTTCCTTGTCAATTCTTTCTTTCTATCAATTGCTCCCCCTCACTCTCTCTGGACATCGTTCCAACGCTTTTTGGAAAGAACAATTTTTAAAGAGTTTTAAAGAACATTTTTTTCCCTTAAATGCATAGGAAGTTATCAGTATATGCAAATAAGCATTTAGCCTTATATCTAGCACTACATTTATTTAGCATTAATTAGGTTTTATTTATTTTAATTGATATAATCTCTAAAATGTTCTATTTTATGTTGATCTTTATTGCTAGACAATTACAAAAGCACACAAATTGGACATGTCTCAAATTTTTCGCTAATAAAATATTTATTTTGCTCTCTTGAGGGTTGACATTCAACATTTTTTGAAAGTTATAAGTAACTTCTTTCAATGACAATTAAACCAACTAGCAATAAGATAGATGGAGAGATGGATAGATGGACAGGTAGATGGATGGATGGATGAATACACACAAAGATATTATAATAGTGCATTTTTGTTAGTTTGATCTGTTTTTGACACTTTATACTTTAAATTATTTCATAATATACTACATCTCATTTGTGTCATGATTGTGTCTGTGAAGCCTTAAAGTTCTGTCTAGGTGGTGGCCAAGTTTTGGAACAGATCCAGAGTGTGTACGTATGGTAATTCAAAGTATTTGCTTCTGTTTTTAGAAAGAAAAAAAGATTCTCTAATTCACTGATCTGAGAGCCCAACTGCTAAATGCTGCATCAAAAGGAAGAAAAATGAAAAGCATGACAGAGAGAGAGACACACACTGAGGAAAGAGAAGCTTGCATCCATCAAAAGGGACACAACAGATGGAAAGGACGGGTGTTTGTTTGCTCTCTGTTTGATGTTGCAGATAAAACAGCACCAGCAGTTCAGTCGTTCTATGCGCTGATTCTTAGACAGCTAAATATCATTATAGAGCTTCTGGAAACTAGACTCTCATGGGCCAATACTGTACACACTAAATTAATCTCCAGAAGCCCCTTCCCTCTCCTGTCTGCACTCGTTTCTTATTCTATCAGTCTTTCTTTGGATGATGTGCAGTGAAGGGCTAGAGAGCTGCAGGATAACATCAGTAAATGGCACTGGGTTGTTTTTTCCGGTTTCAATGATGTTCAGTTCACTCCAGTACAGTTAGCTTGTTGAGGAAATGTGTGCTATTACTTTTAAGCGATGGGAGGATGGTGTCTTTCTTTATAGCACTACCCCCGTCCAACTCTTTCTTGTTGTTTAAGTATTAATTATTTAGATTGTTGCTTTCTATTTCTCTTGATGGGTGGCTACGTATTCAATATATATATATCCCTCCATATTCTTCCATCCCAAGCACTGGTTGTAGTCTTACTCAATTTCTGTGAAAGTCTAGACTGACTGATTAGATTTTAGGAAGGAGAACTTCACCTTAGGAAATGTACTGAATGAGTCCCTCATTGTAATGGGGTAGAGTAAGGACTTGAAGGACAGACAAAGGGTATGATGTCGGAGTACAATACCCATAAGCATTTAGTGCTACTCAGAGGACAAACGGCTGTCAAATGTA